ATCTCCCTTACAGAGATTGTTCTTGACCAATTAATTTAAAAAGAACTAGCAAATACCACCTCTGGCTGGCCCCAGAGTGGGGTGGGAATGAGGATTTTGCAGTATCCTTCCCCTGGAGTGGGGTGGGAATGGAGATTTTGCACTATCCTTCCCCTGCCATGCCCACTAAGCCATGCCTACAGAACTGGTAGTAAAAAAAATTGGATTTCACCACTGCTTGATACTGTAGCTACTTTTTCATATTCTTGTTGGGTTAATCTTTATGAGGGATATGTTTATATATCACCCTTCCAGTTGAATAAGAAAAAAAAAATACAATCCTACATCAATATGCCTGAAATACATCTGATTGTGTCTTATTCCAAATGCATCTTAAGACTAGCTTTCAAATATTTTATGGCTAACATTACCAGATATGGTAGTAATGGTCTGACTTTTCATGCATCTATAGCTAGGTTTAGTTGTAAGGTGTAATACATCTTAAGATACAACACCAAGAAATAAATACAATAACATTTCACAATCCATTTTAGGATCATAATTAAAATATACAGCCTTAATAGTTCAAAAGATGGTTACCATTTAAAACAATTGTTAAACGCTATTATTTGAATAACAGCCATATTCCCCAAAAATAACTTGATAAAGGACCATAAAAAGAAGTGTTTATTGTTTTTTAAACTTTTTGAAAGATCGGGCTGCTGACTTAAATCTGGCAGAAGCTGGTTCTTTTAATATTGACAGTAGATGAGAAAAAGCTCTCAGCCATGTTGTGACTGTTTAAGTAGGAACAGTTACTGATGGCCCAACCCCTGATCAATTTAGGCAGACACATGAGCTACAAGTAGTTTTTCCAAAGAGCAAGGCCAGAAGAGTCAGCACCAGCAAAACAGGTGTTTGCAACAGAAGGAAATAATTTGTTTGGAATTCTTTATTTTGTTTTTTATTTACTGTATGCTACCTGGAGTTATGATGATTGAGCTGGGCAGACAAAATTCAATCAATCAATCAATCAATCGATACTGTTCAATAAATTATCTGGGAACACATAACATATCTAATCTGGTTACTGGGGAAAAAAAATCTGGATTCAAACAACACAGTAAATCTAAAACAAATCAAATAGAATAGGTCAATACAATGCCAGTAGAAAAATGAGAACATTTAAATCATGTGAATGTCTTTAGGTTAATAGAATACTAAGTCTTTAACTGATCTCTGTGTTAAGTGTGTTGTGCAAACATACCAGTTAATTCACTATCTTACTGATCTCTATAAATAAATTCCCTGTGACTCTGACATATGGCTATTAGGAGAAAAAAGGAAGTTTAGCTTGCTTGGCTAATTCTTGTATATAGACAATCACTGGGAATAACATGGCCCTTTAATTAGCTGAAAATTATCAGAATTGCCTATCTGGTCGCATCATGCTGATGATAGCAAAGCTCTACTAATGACTTTTTTAAATGCAAGGTGATGTGAAAATACCCCATTTCCCCTAAGAGTAATTCTTAATAGAACAGTGAATTAGCTAACAATCTGAATTAGATATAGCTTATAACAAGTTATTCAAAAGTTTCAATATTTTCAACTCCTGTTCTTATTTTTGGAATTTTCAGGCAGAGTAAAATAGGTGTACTCTTCTGAACCTCAGAAATCTCAGCAATGGCCCTATTAGTTTTTCTGCGGGTTGAAGTGCACACATTTGGAAAGTACTCACATTGGAAGTATTGATGTTATAGACTTTGTAAGGGTATACTGGTTAGGAGTCTACTTACAACATTTTGTATCAACTGAATCTTTAGGAGTACATAGAACATAATCCATTAAAAAAAAATAAATAACCATGACACAGATAGCTACAGTTAAACTGGGAAATACGATACTAGTAAACATCAGGATCTCAAGTTTTTTTAAAAAACTTTCAGATTACAGATGATGATGATGAAAGAAAATTAGATTACTTTCCCAAAAGAAGTGCATTCTGGGAATCACCTGCCCAAGGATGCACCCTTGTCATTATTGTGTCTTGCAGGTTCATGCCTTACTGTATTTCCCACTATCAGAAAAGTCAAAAAGTAAAAATCAAGTGAGATATTTTTAATAATTTTGCTGAATCCTCCAAAGAATGTGGAACTGAATGGACTATCACAAATGAAGGCAAAGGAGTGCTGCTGAGACAACACCCTCATTTTGTGGTCCGGTGTAACACAAGAGCTCCCACTGGCACAATCTGGAGCTATCCAAGGTCCTGCTTCCTGCTGTCCTCTTCAGATAGGGTCTCATCTTTGTCAGTTGAGTCTTTTGTGCCACTTGAGGACCTCTGACTTATTATTAGGTTTCCTGTCCAAATTTTAACTAATCCACTTTGATGAGATTTTCCTGATTATGTCTGACACCACTGGCTTCCCTGAAAGCATCATAAAGCTGTAGTTTAAAGGCATTCACTGCTATAGCTGCACTCTGAAAATAAATGTACCAGGGATGTGAACCAGAAATGTTCTATTTTAGGCAAGCTTTGTAGTTTCAAAGTTTTTTTGATGTTTGTTTTTCAAGTGACTGTTCTAAAATACCGATAAGCTAAATGTACACTGCTAACACTGATAAGCTAAATGTATACTACTATTCTCTGTTCCCCAATCCTGTTTACAACATTCCAATACCAGTATTTTCTTTCCATCAAAGTTTGAAGTTCCTTTAATGTAATGTCCTAACCTCATAAAATACACCAGATTTAATTTTTTCACATTAAAAAATAGAATTCAAATACTTATTCAGACTATAAATAATGAAAAAAAATGTCCTAATTCAAAACATGATTTTACAGGAAATTTTTTCTCATTCAATTTTTCCCAGAAAAACCACATCTTGAAACATACACCAAAAGTTCAAAGAGTATTTTCAAATGTTCAGTGTGATACTTTAGGGGAAGGGTAATTCCTTATAGAAATCTTCATCTTCAAGAAGAATTTATATTGACCAAATGCACCTTCACATTGATTAGTTTTTATTTATGTTGTTTGACTTCCTCCAGCTGATTTACTCACTTTGAATAACCTTCAACCAAAGCAACCATTTTCTTTAAATATCAGCTGTCACAAAGCAAATACTAAAAATAAAATAACATTCAAGATCTGGGGCCAAACTGGACAAATTTAAAATTGTTTTGAATTAAGGTGATTTAAACCAGCAGGATGACAATACTTTAATCCAGTGTTTTTCAAACTTGTGATCCTTAAAATGTATGGACTAACTTTAATCCATGCTGGGGAATTATGGGAATTGAAGTCCACATATCTTAAAGTTCTCAAGGTTGAGAAACACTGCCTTAATCAAATGTATTGCTTCATTTATTTCCAAAATTAAAAAATTTCTGGAAGTAAATGGGTGTCCTCGAGCAGCTTATTGGCCATCTTGAGTTATATAGTGATAGCATCTTGAGTTATATAGCGATAGCAGAACAGCATGATTCCTTCCTTCCCATTTATCAAGTTTTTTTATAGCCATCCATCTCACAAGAAATGATTCTGGATGGCGTACAAAGATATAAAAGAACATGTAAAAATGGAGCAAATGGAGCTGTGCGCACATGCAGTTGTGCAGAACCATCCCCTCTCCCCCTCCCCCAGCCACTCCACAAAGCACAAATGTTGGATTAGATTAGCAAAGGAGCAGCCTCAAGATCTCAATAGTACCCTGCAGACCCTCATGCCTGATGACAAAGCATGATATAGGAGTTCTGGAAAGTAAGTAAGGATAAACTCGACCTTACTTCCATAATGTGAGTGCCCTTTGCAGGGAAGCCCCATCTTTTTGGGCCTGCCAAGTGTAACTCCCTAAAAGATGGGACCTACAGCATGTTGCTGGGTCTGATTGGGATGGGAAGATGTAACTGGGGAGAAGTGGTCCCTCATAGAGAACTTGGCCCTTGCCATGAAAGGCTTCAAAGATCAAAGCCAGCACCCTGAATTGGATCCAGAAGCAGGCTGGCAACCAATGGTGCTCACAGTGCAAAAGTGTAACATGTGCTGTTCTAGAGGCACACACAACTGCTCGTGTTGCTGCATTTTTCACCAGCCTGAAGCTTCTCGATACCCTTCAAGGGTCCTATGTAGAGCACATTATAGTATTTCAATTGGGAGGTGACCATGAGCGACTATGAGCTGAGCTCTCCAATACAGGAACACAACTGGTGCATCGGCACATCTACTCTTCAGAAGGAGTTGTGAGTCCAAAAGGACTCCCAGGTTGCACATCAGGTCTGTCTGGGGCACCGCAACTCCATCCAGCACCGAAGACTGCATAGTTCTGGAAAAGGGCCCAAAATCCAAAGCCTTTTTAGTCTTGCCAGGATTCAGTCTGTTGCTTCCCACCTCCTCCAACTGCGCCCCCCGCCCCAATTATTTGCCGCCTCGCAACGCCCCCGCCCAGCCTTTCTTTCCCAGGAGGACGCCGCGTGCTGCTCCCACCGCCGCCGCCGCTCCTCGCGGAATATCCCGCCCCCGGGGCTGTTCCAACTCGTCGGTCTCGCAGTCTCAAGCAAGCTCCGGAGGAGCTCCGGCAAAAGCGGGAAGCCAACCGGTCCCGCGTTCGCCTCTCGCGTCGGCCCGCCCCAGTCTGGCGGGACGAGGTTTCGCTCCGTCGTCACCTGACCTAACCTGGCGGTTTGCTGCCGGAGCTGCCCGGAAGGGAGAATTAAGGCTGAGCATAAGGCGCAGAAAGGCGAGGGAGGGGAAGGGGGAGGAGGGAGGGAGGGAGAGAGAAGGCTTGGCGTCTGGAACCTGCTGTGCAAGTCAAGGCGGGAGGCGGCGCTGCCTGCTTGTTCGTGCCTGGGCGGCGAGAACGATCCCGGCGCCGAGGAGGAAGGGAAGAGAGAACCCGAAAAGCAAATGCGGGCAACGGCATAATGGCAGCGCCTAGTCGAGGAGGCTGAAGGGGGAGATTCGAGGCTGCCGCCGCCGCCGCCGCCGCCACGCTGGGCTGGGCTGGGCCGCTCTCACCTGGCGCAGCGCTGAAAGGCAGGAAGTCGGAGCCCTTGGTGCGGGCAGGGTAAGGTGGACAGGTAACCGGGAGGCGGCTGATTTCACGGGAAGAAGCAGCCCTCCAGTCTCCCTGCCGAAGGAAGTCCAGGCCGGCTCCCTCTCCTCAGGCAGGAAACAGCTGATCCTGCCTTCGGGGCTTTTGCCCGAGGCCTCCGCCCGCTAAGCAGCACCTGGTCGTTTTGCGGAGCGCGCAACCCAGGCGGAGGCCTCCCTGCGGGGGATGAGCAGCCGGGCCCGGGATTGCGGATAGAGAGGGGAAGGGAAGGCGAAGGGAGGAGGGGGGGGGGCGCCGTAGCCTTGCTGCAGAATCGGACCGCGGGGGGCGGGTGGAGCTGGTGATGTGGGGAGAGGCAGACGGCGCGGGGAGTGGGGTGGGGGGGGGAGAACTATCCCTACCGCCGGATTTGAGGGTTTTTGGGGGGGGGGGGGAAGAAAGGAAGCAGATGTGAATACAACAAAGAGTCTCGTGATGCCGTAAGAGGCTTCTGGCTGGGAGCAAGGGAGAGGATCTGAAAGCGGGCAAGGCTGCAGGTGTGGCAGAGAGGAGACTGCGGGGTGCAGCCCTTTGAGTCCTGGCCAGGTAAACGGAGGCAATACATCCACTTCTCCAGCTGGGATGCGGAGGTGTGGGTGTCACTTGGGCGTGTCTGTGTGGAAAGCACAAGGAAGAGGTGTGCAAGTTGCAGGGAGGGGGAGGGGGACTAGTATTTCAGTGACTACAGGTAGGGCATTGTTTTCGATGAAAGCAGGTGTAAGGGGAAAAAAAAAGTCTCCTGCCAGGTTTATAATATGGGATTAGTGGAATTTTGGATTCCCTCTTTGCTTTCTTCCTCTCTAGTTCTTCTGTCACCTGCTCTGCCGCCACCCAGCATAATTTTCATTGAACTAATAACCCCCCCCTCTGCCCCTGCTTTGAGCCAATGCTTGCTGCTGCCTCAGTCTTCTTTCTAAACAAAGAGATCATGGTGCTCCAACCTAGGTTTTGGAATTGTAAAGGTTAAAGGTGCTTCATCTTTCTCCTCTGTTCCCTATTTCCCCTCCCACTGATCTGCCAAAGATTTTCTGAAAGAAAGGCAGTTTAAGCTGGCTGGCAGTTTTGTGGTCACACCTTGGCTTGACTCTTGGTGTGGCTTTTTCCTCCACCCTTTTTCTCTTAAGGTGTGGATAGCTGCTGGCAGTGGCTTCATAATGGTGAAAGATCTGGGATGAATCCTGGCCTAGGTAGTTGAACTGGCATTTGGTGGCTGCCAACCACGCAATTACCCTTTTGAGCATGTTCTTCTTTTGATCTAAGCTCCTTCCTGTCCTTCTGTTATTAACCTGTTATTAATAATTTGTTTCATTTACTCCATTCCACAGCTGTGCTCTCTTGCATTTTTCCCTATTCTCCTTATTAAACTCTTCTCCCCCTTTCCCCCTCCATCAGATGGATTATTGAGGCCTGCCTGTCTGTGTTTTCCTTTAAATCTTCCCCTCCTTTTCAGAAAATGTTCATAATAAGCACTCATGGCTGCTGAATTTGCCACCTCTGAGGTTTAGCGAGATGATTAAAGATACAGCCGCTGATGGGGGGGCAGGGAGGAGATAAAATAAGCATTGCAAGCTTTGATTACTGCCCTGACTTGTGTCTGCATTGTGGGACCAATAAGAGCCTGCTTAGCATGTTTATTCCCTTCCTTTTAGTAACAGATGCAAACATGGCTTTGCAGTTAGTTGCATATATTAGAAGAGCAAGCAGATTGAGAAAGAGAGATGCTGTGTTAGAGTAAAATTCAGACCTCCTTTTATTTCAAGTTGGATTTTTAGGAAGCATCTTGTATTTACAGTAACACATCCGGTATTTTCATAATCCTTTCAGGGATAGGTCAGGTTCTTATCTTTATATGTTAGATAGTGGCAGGACTAAAGTAGAATGAACAGACTTTTCCACCTTGAAGCTTTTCAGCTCTGTTGAATGACAGCCTCTAATAACTCCAGCTTGTGTTGTGTAAGTACCAATAAGGCCATTGAATATATAAGCTTGGGAAGATGACAGTTCTGATTCACACAATTGGAGGGTATTAAGTTCAATTTGTTTAATTTCTATATGGAATGCTGGAATAGTACCTTGTTAATATTACTTTATACAACAATGGCAGCCACATGAGTTGCTATTCATCTATTTTGTGTGGTAGAGCACACCTATGTCATGAGATCACAGTTTTGCACATTTTCCTATGAGAAGCTGCTGTGAAATTGGCAACATACAATGCTTGTGTTGTAGGATGGGGGTTATGGGAGTTATAATTCTAGTCTCTATAATTCTTATGAATTTGCAAACAGTTTGAATCTGACTTGTTCTAGAGCTGAATCTCATAGAATACAATTCTAAATATATTTAATTGGGAGTAAGGCTCTTCAGTTTCAGTGAGACTTAGACCTGCTTAAATGTTTCTAGGATTACAGTCTTTCTTCATACTATGCTTACATTCTAAAATTGTATGTAGTTCTTGCATTCTGTGCTCAACTTCTTCAAATGTGTCTCTTCATAGGTTCTGGAGTTATAGGTTAATGGGTTTGCTTTTAGTAATTTGCTGCATTAAGTTTGTGCCACAGAGAATAAATTATTTCCATGGAAACACTATGGAATGATCACAGTTATTTTTAAAAAATAATTGTTTGCAAAGGTGAGTAAAAACATAGTCAAAGAGATAGCCAAAATGGTCCTGGAACTGAATGGAAAAGTTACAACATATCATTTTCTTTTAATTTACAAAAAAGTCAATTGAGATGAGAGAGGATAAAGAGGATAAATATTAAAAGTCTTGCAGAATATTTATGGTTTTGAAAGCTCATCCAGAGTCATTCCTATTCTTTTCCTGTAATGCAAGGTCATTTGTCCAGCAGAATAGAGGAACTGTCCCAACATTTAAAGAAAATTATCAATGTGAATGGCTTTAAAAGGGGATCAGACAAATAATGGAGGAAAAAGCATAAATGCATACTGGTTTAATAGATATAGATTACCTCTATTATCAGTTGCTAAGAAATGTGTGGAGAGGTGTTATTGTCCTCATGACTTGAGAAAGCTTGACAGATATCTGATTTGCAATCCCTGGGAATAAGATTCTACACAAAGTGGATCTGGTTTAAATCTGGCTCCTCTTAAACTCCTAAACTTAGATTTTAAAAAAGAATTGTGCTTCATTTGGATGTTGACGTTATTTTCAGTTTCAATCTAATTTTGGAAATGTTGTGTTATTCAAATATGATTATTAAACACATTACCAAATTTGGGCTATCTGCTTACCAGATTGTTTCATGCCAATGAAACAAATATATTTAATAATACTTCTGTGGAAGTTGTTTTCTTTGGCTATTTTTGTGTTGTTTGGCTAATTTAAAAATATTAATTTTATTTTATTGCTGTTTTTAATTTTTAGGAAAGATGGTGCATAGTTTTAAGCAATCAAATAAATATTACATAGAAAAAGAAATCCCTATGTAATTATATATTTTCTAGCAATCCATCTTCCACCGCAGTGGCTTTAGGCCTCATAAGATTGTTATGGGGAGAAATAAAATGGAACATTATATATTTTTTGAGCACCTGTATGTGCTGTACATTCAATAAATAATGAATAGAATAGAATAATTTTTTTTTATTGGCCAAGTGTGATTGGACACACAAGGAATTTGTCTTGGTGCATATGCTCTCAGTGTACATAAAAGAAAAGATATGTTCATCAAGAATCATAAGGTACAACACAGTGATAGTCATAGGGTACAAATAAGCAATCAGGAAACAATATCAATATAAATTGTAAGGATACAAGCAACAAAATTACAGTCATACAGTCATAAGTGGAAGGAGATGAGTGGTGGGAACGATGAGAAGATTAATAGTAGTGCAGACTTAGTAAATAGTTTGACAGTGTTGAGGGAATTATTTGTTTTGCAGAGTGATGGCGTTCGGGAAAAAACTGTTCTTGTGTCTAGTTGTTCTGGTGTGCAGTGCTCTATAGCGTCGTTTTGAGGGTAGGAGTTGAAACAGTTTATGTCCAGGATGCGAGGGGTCTGTAAATATTTTCACAGCCCTCTTTTTGACTCGTGCAGTATACAGGTCCTCAATGGAAGGCAGGTTGGTAGCAATTGTTTTTTCTGCAGTTCTAATTATGCTCTGAAGTCTGTGTCTGTCTTGTTGGGTTGCAGAACCAAACCAGACAGTTATAGAGGTGCAGATGACAGACTCCATAATTCCTCTGTACAACTGTATCAGCAGCTCCTTGGGCAGTTTGAGCTTTCTGAGTTGGCGCAGAAAGAACATTCTTTGTTGTGCTTTTTTGATGACATTTTTTTGATGAGAATATTTGGAAATGCATAAAATGCTTTTTAAAATAGATACACCTAATTCTGAGTATTCTTAGCCTACACACAGGTGGTATTATTAAGATAATTAAATACTGCCTGATAGAAAGTTAGGAGAAAGGAGTTGTTTTTAAATTATTTAAGCTGTGTTGGGAGTGAATATATAAGTAAAATTGTTCATACAGAGATCTGTTATTGCTGCCAGTATTTCTATTTGATATGCTAATTTTCTGCCACTGCTGCTTCCTGGATATGTTAATTTAATGCCTATTATTTATAGAAAGAGAATGCAAAAGTGTTGTCACCTTTTCCTTTCAAAGGAGACCAACATGCAGAACTTTATTTCTGGTTGAATATGCTTGTATTTTCTATGTTTTATGGTTATTGTCCTTTATTTCTGTAAATTGTACTAATTTATATTTCGTGTATGCTTTCCTGAAATTAATTTTTGAAATTAAAATTTACAATTTTTTAAAAAACAAAAATATTTTCATTTTTTTCCTTGAATGACTTGCCCCAGAGAAGATTATGTAGCCCTTCTCCTTCAAGTATACGGTCACAGCATATTTGTAAATTAAGCCAAGGCTTAACAGAAAGTCTGGTCTTTCGTGTTCCTGTTTTTGAACATGGCAATAACTGAAGGTTGCAGGGACCTATGTCATGATATCACACAAATGATCACGAAGTTTGGGATTTGGAGATTTGAGGTGATGTTATTCCTTAGATTTATATTTTGCCTTTCTTCCAGGAACTCAGGTTTGATGCATGTAGTACTACCGGTAATTCTCATGATTTTTACCTATCCAATCTTGAGACACAGGTTGTTGTGATAGAGAGTAAAAGAGTCAAGTCACTTTGTGAACTTTCCTGGCTGAGTTTATATTTGAACCT